CGCTTACTGCCCAAACGTGCTGAAAACCCTGTTTTTATTCATCATAATTTACCATTAATTAAGTTTGATTATTAATTTACCAAGTTCTGAAAATAAATATTGGTTTTTGTACAAATAACAATCCTTTTTTTAAAAAAATGTGTAACGTTTTGATTTTTTCCACAAAGTTTAATTAAAACTAAATACGGGTGTATTCGGTATTGGGCCAGATGTCAACTAGTATTCGGCCGAATACCGAATACTGAAAAAATGGCCGAATAGACTGAATACCAAATAGTAACCGAATATTCATTTCATTTATAATATATCTATTGGGGAGCGAGCTGGCGTAGTGGTTACAGCGCGGGACTTCAGTCCCTTAGGTCTCGGGTTCGATCCCCGTCAAGTCACCAATGGGTTTTATCCAAGTTATAATGCCGCAACCCCTAGGTCTAGCCTGAAGTAATGTGAAAAACAATCCCAAGCTCGTTCCTAGCGTCCTAGGACAAAAAAATATATTTATTTATTACAGTTAGGAACATTGCAGAACTCATAGAATTTTTTTATGTTATGCAGTTTTGAAACAGTTGACAAAGCGATAACACATTTTTGTTTGTTTACATCGGCAAAATAAAAAAAAGATAGTGAACTTTACTTTTCATTGTAAACATTATTTTTCCGCAGTAAAAAATTTAATGATGAATTTTCGCAAGTGATAAACATGAATCGAAAACAGGTCATTTCACAATAAGTGTAGCAAAAAATGCATATTATTATTTAAGTACGTCTGAAAATAGTACTGCCTGGACCATCGTGCTTTGCGTGTGGAGAGGTAAAACCTAATCCATTTAACATTTTGTTTTATATTTATTCTGAAGGTTTTTATGTAATTTTAAAGGAGATAATAAAGAGATGAGTTAATGTAATTATTTCCCCATTTTCCGTCACTCCTCTTATTCTGTTACACAAAGTCTTAATATATATATTTAAACATATTAGTCCTATAACAAGGCAAACCCTTCAAATTTTAAATCGTAATAAGAGAAAGTTGACAAATAAAACTGTTGTACATTTAATGTGGACTATACTTAAATTTTACTTGTCAATAATAACAGTGTTATTCAAATCAAAGTTATAATGATCAATTGCTTCTTTTTTCTAAGATAGGTGGAAGACAGTCAATAAATTACTGCCTTTATTCTAAACCTTCTTTAAAGAAATTCTAGCTATTGGTTTTCAGAAAGATAGAGATTTTTGCTGTTACAAGACAGCGTGATATGAAGGGCAAGTGCTCAAAACACTAAACTGAGTACAACATATGTTGTTTATTCAGGGCCTAGAACCATACAATGAAGTTATTAGGAAATTATTTGGCGTATTTGACATGAACTGAGAAGATGTTAAGTTAAAGTTTGAAGGCCTTTGCTGCTAAAAAAGACAAAGTTAAATCTAAATTTCTAGCAAAAGACATACAATTAATGGACAAATATTTTAAAGAGGAAAATGAAAAATGTGTCAAAATATTTGAAGGGGAGACAAAAGACAAGAATATTGATAGGGTGACCCAGGTTTCCACCCAACTAGATCCTCTATGTAGTTCATGTTATTCTTCTTCATCCCCACAGACCGGGGGAAACGGAAAGTATCACCAAATAAGACTAGCTTATGGTTGTCGCTTATAGAAGAGACAGTAATAAAGAGATTAAAATACTATATCCTTTGTAAGCTGAACTTAAAGACTTGGTTGAGACTTGGAAGTAGAAGGAAAATGAAACAAAACAGTACCAACTCTTTTATCCCCCGAGCAAAAAGAAGGAATAGAAAATTTTATATCAGCAAGAAACGAGATGAACAAACAAGGCAATATTTATCTTTTTAGATCCTATAGACATGCCTGTGGGCATTTCAGAGCATGCGATGTCATGTGAATGCCTGCAAAAACTTTGGGCGCAAAAAAAAGTTTATAGGCCATGATATTCGTTTGCATCAACAGTAATATCATATGTCACATGAGACAACCGTCTTGGTGAAAACTAGTAAACTGTTGGTCATGACCTCGAAAGGTCACACTCACTTCGCGTTTGGCAAAAAGCCAAGTATTGTCAAACCTGGTATCGCAGAAAAAAAAATATCTGGCCTGAAACTGAATAAATTTTAAGAAAAACATTGCACTCAGCCAAAGACATAAACTTTTTTAAACAGAAATTTTGACACGCACTCAGTGGCATAAACAGGAACAGGAACAGAATCAAACACTGTGTTTACAACACATTTCGGGCAAGACAAGAAAAAAACTCCAAATTTTAATTCTTACTCTGGAACTCAGCTTTGTAACGTAACAATAGTTCATTTCATAAACTTAATAAGAGTAGAAAGTGAGTCATGACATATTTGGGACCATATGTTTTTTAAGTGCGAGATTCACCGATCATTTAAATGGTCGAGAATATATCGAACCCACTTTCACTCGTGTTTTGAACATTAATTTTCGCTACGCTACAAAAACTAAAAACTAATTATTTTGTTAACTAAAACAGACATATATTTAATTATTACAGTTAGAAACATTGCAAAACTCATAGTTTTTTTTTTTTTTTGTTATGCCTTCGATTTAAAGTTATACTCTTGGTATATATACAGTTTTGATTGAAATTGAAACAGTTGACAAACAATAACACACCTTTGTTTGTTTACGTCGGCAAAATAAAAAAAAAATAGTAAACTTTACTTTTGCATTGTAAACATTACTTTTCCGTAGTAATCAATTTAATGATGAATTTTCGCAGGTGATAAACATGTATCGAAAACAAGTCATTTCACAGTAGTGTATCGAAAAAATTCATATTATTATTTAAGTACGTCTGAGAGTAGTACAGCCGTCTAGGCTTAGCGTGTGTTTCGATATGTACCGTATGGAGGATACATTTCTTATTCTTTATCAAATTCAGCTAGTCGGTTTGACTGTTAGTTTTAGATTTGTTAATTAGTAAAACCTTATCTATTTAAAATTTTGTTTTAGATTTATTCTTAAGTTTTTTTGTGTAATTTTAAATGAGCTTACTTTAAATTTGCATGTTGTCGGGGTGAAATGTGCTTAGTATATTATGTTAAGTGCTTTACATTCGGGCCCCAAAATAAATGGCCAGGATAATATTGTAATACTTTTTATTGATAAAATATAATTTCGAAAGAAAATGGTCCCCTAATTAATGTTGCTACAATGTAACCAACTTAAAATAATCTTCAAACAAAAGCTAAAAATACTGAACTATAGGGAAGGAATTAAAAAATTAAAACAATAGGCCAAATCTGGAGAACGTTCTAAATTTTTGCTAAAGATTGCGGTTAGACTTAATTCCCAACTGCGTCCTTTAAATATCCATTTTGATGTATAAAAACACCAGTTCTTTTTCCGTTTAGTGTAGGATTATTTTAAGGTGTTATTACGCAAAGCTGTAGTGCAAATGGATCTTTCTGCGAGTTTTGCAGTAATACGCCAAAATAAAATACGGAGGTCTCGTTGGAGTCTCTCTCGAGCTGCACATGTTTTTTAGGTAATGTACATGGCATGGCGACGATGTTTTGTCATTGTCCTTGACGACTTGTGTCACAAGAAATCAGTTTAGTTATACAGGATGTTATTAGTATAGGATTCGGACCAGTTACGTCATTTGTTTATGTATACGACCCATACCGCTATCTGCTCTAATATTCGTGGGCATAACGTATTTCCTTGTTGAACGAAACCATTTTATTACAAACATGGAATAATAGACCTAGAATTAAAAAATTCGTTGACAGTAAAAGTAACAAGACGGTTCAAAGTGTTTGAGAAAACGCGGTTGGATGCTATTTTACGGCAAAAGTTGAATGATATGAGGATAACTATTTGGACATCACTATGCTTACGAACAAAGGTTCTATGCTGGTTACAAAAACATTAAATTCTCATCGATAAATTTACTTTATAAATTTAACCGATTATTTAGGTCTGCTTTTTTACTGAAGCGTTCCAATTCCGAAGTACAGTTTTGAAATTGATATAGTGTGTGCATCGTGTTTTAATTATTTAAAATAAATCCCTAGACTTAACAAAAAAGGAACTACATGAAAATATAAACATTTAAAGTAAACAAGCAAACAAATGCTAATTGTAACATCTTATTATTACGAAAAGTTAATCGCTCCCCTAGAACTTCCCTGAGGGATATGGTGGCGAAGAAAAGTAGTTGTAGATAGTTGTTCATGACGATGGTAGACGAATGCGTAGTCACCCAATGTCATCCATATGGAGGGTACATTTCTTATTCTTTATCAAATTCAGCTAGTCGGTTTGACTGTTAGTTTGAATATTTTTTAAAGTTTTAGATTTTTTTTTAGTTAGTTAGAAAATTAGATTATAATTATCATCTGGAACTGAAGAGGGTGGATTTTGTTCTAAAATTTTGAATATTTATTTTGAGGGGTAGAAACCTGAGGCGGTAAAAGCCGCTTTCTGAGTAAAACGAATATTTTCCCAAAAAAAAAACTACAAATATAACAGATTTTTTTGTTTCAAGTTAAAGGTTTGTTATTGAAAATAAATTATTGGTAAACAACAAAAGACCTTTTACATGGGCAGAATAGAAACATATTTCAAAATTGGCTTCAGTTAATCTATGAAATTTAAAAATATGTAAAAAAATACATATAGTTACGCGAATAAAACATTAGTTTAAATTAGAAAGTATAATAGCGGTTTACAATAAACCAGTATAAGTTAGTGAGTAGGACAATGATTTCACCTGGTCGATTTATAGATAAAAAAATAAATGTCGATAAATTTTGCTTTATAAAACACAATAGTAAAAATACAAATAATAATTCAGTTAACTTTCAGCTATGCACTACAAATAGGTTGCTTTCAGTAAAATGGGAGATAAGGTTGTCACATATTTTGTTGCTATAATTTATTTTATTTTTATTTTTTCAGTTCATAAAAATTAAGATATTGAAATTTATTACACAACAGTTTAGTTTACCTGTAGCTGTGTACTACAGACGAGTTGGTGAAAGTTGAGGACGTAGACTGGCCTATCCTACAGAGCACCACGCGTCATGGCAACAATCACGGCACTGACTGTATGAAGTGACAGTTGCGTCGCACGCACCCGCACACCCGCACATGCGCGCGGACACCCCCTCTGGGGTGATAAAGGTGGTTGAAGCTGGAGAAAACTCTTTAATCATTCATAGGAAAATTACATTCGGTTGCTAATGCTAAGTAATAATAGTGAAACAATTTTGACAAGGATTTGTTGAATGCATCTTTTAGCGAAATTTACCATATAGGGAATAAGCTATTACCATAGTACTCATGGTAGGAACTGGACCCGGGACCGATTAACATTTTCGTTTTGAGGTCCCTAGAGGCAAAAAACACCATCCTTTCAAATGCAAACATACACATGGAAATATATACAGGGTGACAAAAAAGTCTGGACACTGCTTAATATGTTTCTAACTAAATCCATTTTTTTACCAACTTATATGTATACAAAACTACTTTTTGCAAGCATTGCCATTGTTTGACCTCCACCAGGGGACAGTCCATGAGGAGTAGGTGCATCATCTTTAACGTAAGCTATTATGTCCTTTAATTAATTAAATATTCAATTAAATAGTGCACATAATGTTTACTGTGTCAACTGATCAGCTAGATTAAAAATAGGGACAGTCTTTGGAAATATGTAACATAAGCATAGGTTGATATGCACTTCATTTTAAAAATCTGGACAAGTGGAGTTCATTGCCAAAAATAGCGTCTCATCCGTTGCAAAATGGCACCCTTCCTAGAGGTGACGATCAGACGTGTGCGGTACCCGACAGATCGGAACCCCGAGAAAGAGGGGTGCCAATCTGTAGTGGTGACAACCTGACGGAGGCCACAGAGGGTGACTATCCGTCGTAACAGCACCCGACAGATTGGAATCCCGAGAAAGGGGTGATGCCAATCTGTCGTGGTGACAACCTGGCAGAGGCCACCTAGAGTGACAATCTGTCGTAACAGTACCCGACAGAATGGCACCCCTGGCCTCAATATCCCCCTTCAGCCCTTCTTATCGTTTTACTTATAATTAAACACTTATAACTCCCGCCACCATCTACCTAATCCGATGTATAAAAAGATAAACAGATTATTGACATAATAACACATTAATAATATCATTAATTTTTACGAATTAATCGATTTTTCGCATCATTGAGGGACGGTTCACGGTGGAAGTCTTAAAACCCCTAAACGTAAGCATACCTCGACTTGTACATCATCTTAAAGGACAAAGTTAAATCTAAATTTCTAGCAAAAGACATACAATTAATGGACAAATATTTTAAAGAGGAAAATGAAAAATGTGTCAAAATATTTGAAGGGGAGACAAAAGACAAGAATATTGATAGGGTGACCCAGGTTTCCACCCAACTAGATCCTCTATGTAGTTCATGTTATTCTTCTTCATCCCCACAGACCGGGGGAAACGGAAAGTATCACCAAATAAGACTAGCTTATGGTTGTCGCTTATAGAAGAGACAGTAATAAAGAGATTAAAATACTATATCCTTTGTAAGCTGAACTTAAAGACTTGGTTGAGACTTGGAAGTAGAAGGAAAATGAAACAAAACAGTACCAACTCTTTTATCCCCCGAGCAAAAAGAAGGAATAGAAAATTTTATATCAGCAAGAAACGAGATGAACAAACAAGGCAATATTTATCTTTTTAGATCCTATAGACATGCCTGTGGGCATTTCAGAGCATGCGATGTCATGTGAATGCCTGCAAAAACTTTGGGCGCAAAAAAAAGTTTATAGGCCATGATATTCGTTTGCATCAACAGTAATATCATATGTCACATGAGACAACCGTCTTGGTGAAAACTAGTAAACTGTTGGTCATGACCTCGAAAGGTCACACTCACTTCGCGTTTGGCAAAAAGCCAAGTATTGTCAAACCTGGTATCGCAGAAAAAAAAATATCTGGCCTGAAACTGAATAAATTTTAAGAAAAACATTGCACTCAGCCAAAGACATAAACTTTTTTAAACAGAAATTTTGACACGCACTCAGTGGCATAAACAGGAACAGGAACAGAATCAAACACTGTGTTTACAACACATTTCGGGCAAGACAAGAAAAAAACTCCAAATTTTAATTCTTACTCTGGAACTCAGCTTTGTAACGTAACAATAGTTCATTTCATAAACTTAATAAGAGTAGAAAGTGAGTCATGACATATTTGGGACCATATGTTTTTTAAGTGCGAGATTCACCGATCATTTAAATGGTCGAGAATATATCGAACCCACTTTCACTCGTGTTTTGAACATTAATTTTCGCTACGCTACAAAAACTAAAAACTAATTATTTTGTTAACTAAAACAGACATATATTTAATTATTACAGTTAGAAACATTGCAAAACTCATAGTTTTTTTTTTTTTTTGTTATGCCTTCGATTTAAAGTTATACTCTTGGTATATATACAGTTTTGATTGAAATTGAAACAGTTGACAAACAATAACACACCTTTGTTTGTTTACGTCGGCAAAATAAAAAAAAAATAGTAAACTTTACTTTTGCATTGTAAACATTACTTTTCCGTAGTAATCAATTTAATGATGAATTTTCGCAGGTGATAAACATGTATCGAAAACAAGTCATTTCACAGTAGTGTATCGAAAAAATTCATATTATTATTTAAGTACGTCTGAGAGTAGTACAGCCGTCTAGGCTTAGCGTGTGTTTCGATATGTACCGTATGGAGGATACATTTCTTATTCTTTATCAAATTCAGCTAGTCGGTTTGACTGTTAGTTTTAGATTTGTTAATTAGTAAAACCTTATCTATTTAAAATTTTGTTTTAGATTTATTCTTAAGTTTTTTTGTGTAATTTTAAATGAGCTTACTTTAAATTTGCATGTTGTCGGGGTGAAATGTGCTTAGTATATTATGTTAAGTGCTTTACATTCGGGCCCCAAAATAAATGGCCAGGATAATATTGTAATACTTTTTATTGATAAAATATAATTTCGAAAGAAAATGGTCCCCTAATTAATGTTGCTACAATGTAACCAACTTAAAATAATCTTCAAACAAAAGCTAAAAATACTGAACTATAGGGAAGGAATTAAAAAATTAAAACAATAGGCCAAATCTGGAGAACGTTCTAAATTTTTGCTAAAGATTGCGGTTAGACTTAATTCCCAACTGCGTCCTTTAAATATCCATTTTGATGTATAAAAACACCAGTTCTTTTTCCGTTTAGTGTAGGATTATTTTAAGGTGTTATTACGCAAAGCTGTAGTGCAAATGGATCTTTCTGCGAGTTTTGCAGTAATACGCCAAAATAAAATACGGAGGTCTCGTTGGAGTCTCTCTCGAGCTGCACATGTTTTTTAGGTAATGTACATGGCATGGCGACGATGTTTTGTCATTGTCCTTGACGACTTGTGTCACAAGAAATCAGTTTAGTTATACAGGATGTTATTAGTATAGGATTCGGACCAGTTACGTCATTTGTTTATGTATACGACCCATACCGCTATCTGCTCTAATATTCGTGGGCATAACGTATTTCCTTGTTGAACGAAACCATTTTATTACAAACATGGAATAATAGACCTAGAATTAAAAAATTCGTTGACAGTAAAAGTAACAAGACGGTTCAAAGTGTTTGAGAAAACGCGGTTGGATGCTATTTTACGGCAAAAGTTGAATGATATGAGGATAACTATTTGGACATCACTATGCTTACGAACAAAGGTTCTATGCTGGTTACAAAAACATTAAATTCTCATCGAAAAATTTACTTTATAAATTTAACCGATTATTTAGGTCTGCTTTTTTACTGAAGCGTTCCAATTCCGAAGTACAGTTTTGAAATTGATATAGTGTGTGCATCGTGTTTTAATTATTTAAAATAAATCCCTAGACTTAACAAAAAAGGAACTACATGAAAATATAAACATTTAAAGTAAACAAGCAAACAAATGCTAATTGTAACATCTTATTATTACGAAAAGTTAATCGCTCCCCTAGAACTTCCCTGAGGGATATGGTGGCGAAGAAAAGTAGTTGTAGATAGTTGTTCATGACGATGGTAGACGAATGCGTAGTCACCCAATGTCATCCATATGGAGGGTACATTTCTTATTCTTTATCAAATTCAGCTAGTCGGTTTGACTGTTAGTTTGAATATTTTTTAAAGTTTTAGATTTTTTTTTAGTTAGTTAGAAAATTAGATTATAATTATCATCTGGAACTGAAGAGGGTGGATTTTGTTCTAAAATTTTGAATATTTATTTTGAGGGGTAGAAACCTGAGGCGGTAAAAGCCGCTTTCTGAGTAAAACGAATATTTTCCCAAAAAAAAAACTACAAATATAACAGATTTTTTTGTTTCAAGTTAAAGGTTTGTTATTGAAAATAAATTATTGGTAAACAACAAAAGACCTTTTACATGGGCAGAATAGAAACATATTTCAAAATTGGCTTCAGTTAATCTATGAAATTTAAAAATATGTAAAAAAATACATATAGTTACGCGAATAAAACATTAGTTTAAATTAGAAAGTATAATAGCGGTTTACAATAAACCAGTATAAGTTAGTGAGTAGGACAATGATTTCACCTGGTCGATTTATAGATAAAAAAATAAATGTCGATAAATTTTGCTTTATAAAACACAATAGTAAAAATACAAATAATAATTCAGTTAACTTTCAGCTATGCACTACAAATAGGTTGCTTTCAGTAAAATGGGAGATAAGGTTGTCACATATTTTGTTGCTATAATTTATTTTATTTTTATTTTTTCAGTTCATAAAAATTAAGATATTGAAATTTATTACACAACAGTTTAGTTTACCTGTAGCTGTGTACTACAGACGAGTTGGTGAAAGTTGAGGACGTAGACTGGCCTATCCTACAGAGCACCACGCGTCATGGCAACAATCACGGCACTGACTGTATGAAGTGACAGTTGCGTCGCACGCACCCGCACACCCGCACATGCGCGCGGACACCCCCTCTGGGGTGATAAAGGTGGTTGAAGCTGGAGAAAACTCTTTAATCATTCA